CTTAGATAGCTTAGTAAGGAAGACTAAGACCCAGACACAATAGACATCCTAGAGCAGTTATGTTCTGTATCAGCAGAAATCCAAAAGGAAACACCATGTTATTAACCAAGAATGAATTAAAGAGTTCTTAGCCTAAAGGACAGGTTGAGCACACTCAGATGAGTTAAGAGGACATTCCAGGACTGAGCCAAGGAATGGGCACAGTAAGGCTTACAAGGGCCTCAGAGGAGAGAGGTAAGGAAATTAACTTACCTAGAACAGAGAGATAAGGAACAGTAAAAGAAAAGTTGGCGAATCAAATAAAGCCTAAAATACAGTAAGTCTTGAAAGTTAGAAGAGTTTGGATTTGGTGTTACAAATCAGAGGTTCTTAAACTTTCTTGAACTAGGCTTTTCCAACAGACTAAAGTTACCATGGCTCCCGTGCCCTTAATACTAAGTAGTAATAATGCTAAGTGTTGTGATAAATAAAATGCAAAAACTGCAGTTCACTTAATACTCTCAGAATGTCTCATTCAGATAAGGTTTAATCATTTATGCTTGGTGAAGTGGCCTTCCACATTTAGGGACCCAGGCTACCTGTGTCTTATGGCTCTGACTTTTATAAAGATCTCCATTCAGTCAGCCTGGGGCTCAGCAAACTATTTCAGTAAACTTTGCAGGCCACAGAGTCTCTGTTACAAGGACTCAACTCCACTGCTATGGCACAAAAGTAGACAAACCAGTGGCTGGGCTGTGCAAAGCTGAAACGTTATTTACCAAAATATGGTTTGCCAACATCTGGCCTAAGGTACTGAGAAAGACAGGCAATAGAGACGACTGCACAGGACATTTTCACGGACCAGACCTGGACGTGGTAGATTTCTTGCTCACTCACTCCAGTAAGCAAGAACTTCGTCACCTGTCCCCAGCTAAGGCTCTAGCTGTGTCTGTTTTTTTTTTTTTTAAAAAGGACATCCTGTTTGCTGAACATAGATACCATGTTCACTTTCCACTGGAAGACCAGCCTGGTGTTAAATTAGACATGGCTGTGAGCAAATGATTAAAAATGGCATAACACACACTCGGGTTTTTTTGTTCTTGGAAAATTATCTAACCGCCGATGCAAACAAGCCTGACTTTACAAGTTGTGTGGGGTTAGCCACACAACACCGCAGGTGATCCTGACGGCGCCAAACTACCTGCGATTATAATTAAAAAGCAAGAGTAGCTGCCATTTGAAAACACAAACTCCGTACCAGTCATAAACTGATGAAACATCTTCCTGAAAACGCCAAGAATTCCAACTACACTTTGCAGCGCATGTGCAGTACGGGTCGCGCGGCATGCCCGCTGTTAGACAGCATCCAGACTTCTCAGAACCGCGCAGACCACACACAATGCGGCGTCCGCACCGCACCCAACTCAGCTTCTTCTGGGTCCGCGGCGGAACAGAACCGGCTTTCCTCACTGGCTGCCCTGGGGCTGGGACGTGACGGACTCTGGCCAAGGGGACACCTGCAGAGGTGATGCACACGGCAGCCAGGCCTGACACAGAGACGTGCCACACGGGACCCTCGGCTCTCCGCCCCTGCTGCACGACCCTGCAGGCTGGGTGGTAAATGGTGGCACCACAAGAAGGAAGGAGCCTGGCTCCTGAATAACGCTGTGCAGTTGAATGACCGCAGGAGCAAAACACCACTTCCCTCCTCCCCGCCATCGTGAATCAGGTGGTGACAGCGAGTGACACGCTTTGACTGTGATCAGCCACTGAGATCTGGGGTTGTTTATGACAGCTGATAACCTACTTAACACAGAGTTCTTAAGAAACCCCAGAAATGTGCTGTGTAGGGTCTGAATATTAAATTTCAAGAGCCCTTTGACACTCACTGAGATGCTGAATAATGCTTAGTTTTACATAAAAATGCACCTATTTGCCTTTGTGGGTCTATTTTTGGTGTGCCAGGTCTTTCCAGCCCACACTGGGCTGGAAGAGGAGCCTAAAGGAACAAAAGCACATTTTAGGAAATGGGTCTGCTATTCTGTGTTCATTGATTCAAAAGTGATTTGCTCTAACCCCTACTACCTACCAAGCATCAGGCTGGAGATAAAAGTCAGAAAGATGAATGAAAGGCCCTCAAGCTGTTACTGGTGGTGGAAGGGAGGCCAGTGACTGGTCCATTAGTGAACAATGGGATGCCCACAGAAAGTAAGACTTACATAAGAAAAGGCTGTCCCACAAGGATCAACTACCTCTTCCTATGAGAGCAGGCAAGGCTTCAAAGAAGAGGGGCAGGTAAGAGGAAAGTAGCTGTGAATCAGTAAACACAGGGCAGCAAAGGGCTTCAAAGAACCCCGTTTTCCTATTCCTTGTTGGAGTAACCTTACAAAGAACTGATTTCATTTGTTCTATTGGTTTTACGCAAGACTATTATCAGACCTATTCCAAGAATGGAAGCACAAGGTGGTATTTTTTGCGGTTTACAAGGTGATTTCATCAGGTGGATTTTACTTTTTCTTTACCAAGAAATAATAACTCTGACTTCTCAGAAAGCATTCCTCAGTGCTTTCAAGTTTTCTGGAATAAAGAAAATTCTCCAGGTTCAATCACACCCTGTGCACTCACAGGGCAGCAGCACGGTTCCCCTGCACCTGCAATCCCAGGTGAGCTGCTCACTCAGAGAACGCCCGCCGGGTCCCCAGCCTCATGGTCCGCCTTCACTCCAGTCAGCCCTCTCACAGACGTCAGTCACAAGAGTCCGGGAGACTCAAAACAGCACTACTGGAAAAATAATCCGCAGCCCATGTCCTAGTGACAGCAGTCTGTAGCTTCCAAAGTGCATGTGGTTGAGATGTGAACCTGGGAAATCTAAAATGTCTCCTCTCACTGAGGGCTGATGTCAGCAGGAGAAACAGGAACACACGGTCACGGTCACAGACAGACAAAACTCCCTCGACTGTATCCTCCCAAATTCCACTCAAGATCAAGCTGCTTTCCAGAACTTTGAACTGCACTCTCTTCCCTGATCTACTTAGAGTCAATCCTTCTTTTTTTACACTGTAAATTAGAGAGACACTTTAATTGTAAATGTATTTACCGCGAACATGGTTTGCAACACACAGGGAAAGAGTACAATGTTGTCCTCATACGTGGCATCCCAAAGAACAGGAAGAAGAGAGAGACTTAAAATTTAAAAATCTTGTTTTTTACACATTTGCAAGCATTTTATGCATTTATCAAGAAATAGCTCTAATTTTGAAAGAATCAGCATTTGTCCTGAAGTCACCCAAACAAAGCCTAAATCTGGCAAGACGCCAAACTCACTTTTAAAGCCCGCAGCAATCCACATGAACAGCCCAAGTAGAGGGCAATTAAAGATTTGAGGATACTTATTTTTCCACATGCCTCTATGATGTAAAAACATTATTTTCTTACCAGTTCCCATTTTTCTTGCTTTTCTTTGACTTTAAAATTATTTAACTTACCCAATCTCCAAGTTATCGCAGACAGTTATTTTTAATTATCTTCTTCTTCAAAAAAAAAAAGTTTAGCAAAGGGAGAAAAATACATTTCTATTTACCTCTGTAATTTAGGACTTAAGACAATATGTAGACTACGCTATACGAAACACCAACATAAAATATGTGAGTAGCATAACAAAACTATGGACTCTTCGATTAAAACATTAATACTACACGATAAAAATGCATTTTTTGGTATACAGTTTATAAAGAAAACTGAACAATACTTTTTAAAGCCATAGCAAATATTTACTGCTAAAAGAAAATGAAAGAAATTCACGTTTCCCTTGAAAATGTTAAATGCATACTTTAACCCATCTTTAGAAAATCAGAAGACAGGTGGGAGAGCACCGTCTAACAGGATGCTTGTTAATACTATATTCTTTTGTGAATGGTGGGACAAAACAAGGCACAGTTTTTGAATAAAAGATGATATGACAGTATATAAAACATAGTAACAGCCACCATTCACTGGCTTTATACCATGTACTTCATTTATAATTTATCATCACCCAATCCTACCACGCAGGTATTCCTTTCCTCGTTTCAAAGATGGAGACGATGAGGTTCACAGAGGTCCCAGAGCTACTGAGCCAGGATTCCCACTCAGGTCAGTATCCTATACAGTACTGCCTTAAGGAAAAACGTCTACACTCAACGGCAAACATTCTATCCTGCTTAGGACTCCAATAAATTCATCTTATTCTTTGATTAGGTTTTCTTTAATCAGCTATTCCACCGTTCACTTCTGCAAAATCCATAATCTCATTCAAAGGTATATTAGTTCCAACTTGCACTAAGGAAGAAGAAAAGTACCATTATACGTGTAGCTGCGAACTACGATTTTGAAAATCGAATCTTTATCATGATAGTGATTATTCCTATGACCACAAGTCATCATATAGAAAACTCTTTGATAAATTTATAGTACCCACACGGGTCACAAAATTCCAGTAAACATTCACAAATAAAAGCTACTTCTAAATAGACATTTGAAAACGGTAGTTAACACCTATGATGAAAACCATTAATACTTAACCTAAGCCAGTATTTCTTAAAGAACAGCCCATGGGCTGCTATTGGTCCACTAATCCTCTCCAGAGAGCCCCGGAACTAATCCCTGGAAAACAATATCTAGAAACATAACTTATCACCTAATTTCTGGCCTGAATTAACACCCAGTGGTGATTCACTCTCACCATGTGTCACCAAAAGCTACGCGGTTCTCTTCGTTAAGTTTCAGTACGTTTCTGGCTCACTTAAGTAGAGAAAGACTAGGGTCGGGATTAAGAATTTTTTATCCTTGTAAGATAAAAAGTTCAATTCCAAAGATGTATGCAATGTTGCCTGGTTCCTTAATTAATTATAAAAATAAGATAAGAATTTTGTTCAAATCAAATAAAAGGAATTTAAAACATTCAAGTATTTAAAAGGGATATTTGATACTTTCAAGTACAAATATTTTTCAAAATAGCACAACTTCCCCCATGTTAGGCTTACCTTGAAGATGGCATTATATTTGAAGCCCTGAATTTTGTTGTAAACGGATTAGTTGACTCATAATCAAAATAGTCCTGACGATTTTCACTAAATGCGTTAGGTGATTTCAAGTCACAAGGGCTATCAGATCCCCCATTGCTAAGTTTATCGGATCTTCGGCTATCTTTTTTTCCAGTCACTCTCTCAAACAGGCTAACTTTCTCCCTTTTCTCTCTTTTATTTTCTTTTCTTACTTCAACTGATTTTGAAAATAAATTCATGCCGCCGTCCCATGATTCACTGCTTTCTTCAAATGGATTTTTCTTCCTTGGCAGTGTTGCAAATTTTTGGGGTAATGAAGCAGTCACATTTGTAAATGGGTCATTTTGTCTTCCGAAAGACGATTCACCTTCATCCACACTGCTGTCAGGTTGGTTCATTTTAGAAGTATCAAAGCTTAATGTTCTTCTGTGTGGAGATTTGAGACTTCCTGCAAAACAATTTTGTAGTTAGTACATAATCACTGACACATTACATCACACTAGTTGACACATTCTGTGTGCACACTGCTGCTTTTAGAATGAGAGCAATTAGCTATTTAAAGATATTAACCTTTAAAATAATCAAGGAAAACAATCTTAAAATGGTAAAGCATAGCAGTCTCAAGGAGGTAGGCTAATAATAATTAGCATATTGCTAGACAATCAGTAATTGACTCAGCTCAGAAAAAAACAATCACATACACAAACTATAATGTCAAAACTAGAGGTTCTGGTGGGCACAATGGTGCTATAAATTCCCAAAGACTTTTTTCATCATTAGCATTAAACATACTTTGCTACTTCTGAACATACAGTATTTTTTTTTATAGGAACTTTCTGATTAAATGGAATATTTATTTATGCTTCAGGCTTTCAAGACCAAAGAAACAGCAGTCAAAAAAAGACGCCAGGCCATGAAAAGTAACTGGGACTCATTTTTGTTATCATTTAATAATATAAACACAATGCTGAATACAGACAAATTCTGCCTTTAATAAACTTACCAATTTTGAGTGTACTCGGCACTCAATAAAGAGTTGACAACTTAACTTAGAAACTACCAAGAAATTGCAATTTTCATTTTCTAACTTCATAAGTTTGACTTTAAAAATTAAAATGGTAGTTCGGATCACTAAGGATACAATTAGATAGTGTCACTTACCGCTTTCTGGAACCGCTCCAAAGGCCTCTATCTGCCGCCCGAGAAGATGCGTCTGACCAATGGTACCGGACTTCAGTTTCTCAGAAGATATGTGTGTCCCAGTTAAATCAGACATTGAATGTGCTGAAGAGAGTCGCTGAGGACCCAAAAGGAAAGGCTTTTTTGGTTTGGATTTCATCTGTATTTCACCACTTGAAAATTCAGTACTGGCATCGGGTATGTGAGAACTTGGAATGATTGCAGAAGACGTATCCGAAAATGTCCCATCATTTTTTCTACCTTTCATCTTATCTTTTAATTTTGCAAAAGGAGATCTTGTTTTGTCCTTCATTGATAAGTCAAACATACTTGCTGTCATATTGTTCCTCATGAATTGAATATTGACTTTGATCTCACCCCTGTTTTTGGCTCTTTTTCCTTGTTTGGATTCTAATCTAAACCACCTTAAAGAGAAGGAAAAAAAAAAAACTGGGTTGTAACACGTAAGGAAGAAAGGATATAAGCTTGGTATATACAAAGAGCTTCTTAGGTTAAGCTATTCCACATCAAGGCAAACTAAGCACAAGAGCTATTATGTATCCATCTGACATAAGTGTTGTTAGTGGCCTAAGAACATTTGTTCATGTTAAAAGACACTGAAGTAAAAGGCCAGGAAAGAATTCATCAACACACTACTCCCTAACATCATACAATAATAACCACATTTTTAATAATTAAATATTTAGCCCGTTTTTCTTCTTGTAAAATCTATTGAAAGAATCTTGTTAACATCGGAGACCACTGCATTATAGTTTGCTAACTGTGAAAATTACATAAGGTGTAATTTAGATTCATATAAAGTGGGTCAAAGCCTTCTCCTGAATAAAATATGAAAAATGAGTAAAATGTAGGAAGTGACAAATAGTCACAAATCCTGTGAAGTTTTTGAAAAAGCAAGCTTAAATGCTTCCTGTTAGAATCTATTTGCTTTGTTTACTATTGCTACTGTAACACCACCAAAGAAAAATTATTTTAATTGGAGCCAAATCTTGTGCTTTCATTCAGTTTGCTGAATTGCACTGCCCATTGTCAATGATATTACAATAATCCCCCCTTATCCATGGTTTCGCTTTCCCTGGCTTCAGTTACCAGCAGTCAACTGTGTTCTGGAACAAGAAGATCCTCGGTCTGACATACCCTCAGAAGGTCAGTAGTAGCCTAATGCTATGTCCCAAAGCCTACGTTATTCACCCCACTTTGTCTCAATACAGAAGCATTTTATCAGCTCATGTCACCCCATGAATGGTGAGTAGAGGACAATAAGGTAGAGAGACCACATCCGCATTATTTTTATTACAGTGTATAACTGCTCTATTGTACTACCGATCTCTTGTTGTGCCTAACTTATAAATTAAACTTTCTTATAGGTATGTACATACAGGGAAAAACACAGTATATTTAGGATTGGGTGCTAGCCACGGCTTCTGCCCCCATGGGGGTCTTGGGACGTATCCCTGTGGGTATAAGGGGGCTACTATATAAGCCAAATTTATTTTGGGTTTGTTCATAGTATTCTTATCCATGAGAAAGCCTCTGGTGGGGTCAGTGATACAAATGGTTATTCCACAGGGAAACAGCCCCCCCCAAAAAAAAAAGGCAAAATCAAGCCTAGGAAAGAGTTACTACAGTGTTTTCACATTACTTAACAATGAAGCACAACTTGCAGACAGGTTATTACTTAAATACGGCTCTAATAGAGTGTAACAAATTTTCCTAGCTACAAAGGAACTCTGATCTAATTTTATATTAGTACTTTCTCTCCTTGTTACCAGGAAGATATGCCAGAAGCTTATGTTTACTATCCATCAGGTGGAAGACTAGTTCATGGGTCTTTCCAGGCAGGAGGGAAAATTGGCACACAACATCCATACCACTTCCATCTCGGCAAGTAACACACAAGAGAAATATTTTCCTCATTAATTTGAAGCAATTCAGTCAATTAAGATCTAGGTGCATCAAAACAAGCAGTTTTTTTAAAAATAAAATGTTTTCTAGTAGGAAGCATTATCCCAAGACCCTAAAATGAGAAAAGCCCTTGAAGCAAACAGTGAAATCTGAAGACACAGGGACTAGAAATGAGAAATGACAGAAATAAACTCTGTGGAGTAGAGAACCTTGAACAAGATAAATTTAGCACTCGAAAAGCAAGGTTATACCCCCAGTTATTAATTCCCAGTTCTGGAAAATAAAGCCATTTTCAATGGGAGAGAAATGTTTCTGATGGATGGTACATGGATAATACTCTGTAACATCTAAGCTTTACGCAAACTAATGACTACACTGTGGAAGAAGTGTAAAAACAAAAAACCCAAGCATGTCCTCTTCCATGTATATAACAAATGAAAGCAAATCTGAGAAAAAAATAAACCAATAACCCAATAGATGGAAGGAAGAGTAATCAAAACTCATTGAATTTCAGAAATAAGACCAAATCAATCATCTACTTTTAACATCCATTTTTCATAGATGAGGGACTTGAGGCACAAAGGCTAAGTAACATCCCAATGTCAGATTAAAGTCAGTAAGGAAAATTTCCAAGTTGATGAATAACATCTGCATGAAAATAGAAGTTCTTTACTATTTGATGAACCACATATGTTAATAAGGTTAAAGGCAGGGCTGGCCATGTGTTTACAGGACTCTGTGTTCAATCAGGAGGCAGTGACAACCAAGGCGGAAGGCAATGCAGGTTTTCTACTGCCAAAGGGTAAGCTCACTGAAGGCAGTTTGCCTTGCGCTCGATAAATATTTATTGAATATTTTTTGCTAAAACTATACTCCTAACACAACCAGGCTACAACTCTGTGTGTGTGTTGTGTCGTTTTGTTTTATGGTAGGGAACACAACTCAAGTAAGCTTTAAAGAATCAAGCAAGTCAGTATTTGAATACAAACTCTAAATACAATGTCTTTTCCATCCTCCCCCACACTTCAAGATAAAAACAAAACAAACAAAAAAAAACCTGCAAAGAATTTTAACAAATATATAAAACTTAAAATTTAGGCATGACAAACTACTTTAGCTGCTTTGTTTTGAAAGTGATATAATGGGGAAGTCTTAATGAGGCCGTCAAGAACCATTCCGGAGATAGCACTTATTTTCCCAGGCTTCAAAAAGATAGAATGAAGACACAGCATTTGGGGTTTAGTGGATTAATGCTGATTTTTTTCACCTCTGGAGTGCTGTTTTTAAACTGTATATGGCCTCTGTTCAATTTTTAGTGGGCACAGGTCCATGTTCAAAAACCACCACACATGTGGGAACTATTCCCAAGCAATTGGTGCTGTGTGGTCAGGAACGGGACAAGATTGGCAGGAAGGGTGCCAGAGGCCAGGACACAGGTGCACTGCAGAGACTCACAGAAAAGTCCTAAAATCTGCATGTGTTTGAGTCATACCTAACTCTAGGGACTCTGATTGTTATTACTTTTCATGAGCATTTAAAAAAAAAAAACCAAAAAACCCAAAACACAACATCACCCATTCCTGTTGTAAAAAAAAAAAAAATCAATAGATATTACATAACAGCATGAATGATTTTACCATTCTATTATTAAACATTGTATTATTTCCTTAAATCTCATGCCAGAACCAACCCAGACACTCATAAAAGTGGGAGATACAGAAGTTTTCTTTCCATGCCCCATGCAAAATGTTCTGGCTCAGGCCCTTCCCCTTGCCTTAAAAGGAAAAAGAAAAAAAAAGAAAAGAAAAGAAAAGAAAAGAAAAAGAAAGAAAGAAAGGCATTTAGTTTCAAATTATAAAAATAAGTAAAGTAATAGTTTTAGCCATCACACTTCTTTGCCTATCAAGACACAATTGGAAGACAAGCTGTAAATACTTGTCTTCAGTGTCAAGAGTATAATGTGTCACACCCAGCAGTTTCATGGGACTTCTAAATCAGTTGGTAGCCTTCATCACTCATACCAGTTTTCTAAAAAGCACTTGGGGATATGCCGACAAGGCTCAGCACTGTGCAGAATATTAAATATCTTTCTTGCAATACACCGGTGGCTCAAGTTCATCTCATACTGTGCCACATGCACAGCTGTGCTGGAAAAGGAAGCTATTAAATATATTAAAAAAACTAGAAATATTACCAATAAAGACATCTCATCAAATATGTGGTCCTCATTTATCCACAACGAAAATGGGATTTGGTAACATCTGAAAATCACTTTGCATGCAGTAACATCACAAGCCCTGTTGAGAACATTTTAAAGCATTTTCCCCCTGAAAGTTCTCATCAATTTTATATAGTAGCCAATAGAGATTTTCTTTAGGGAGACCACAACAGGAGAATTGCTTACGGCCAAATATACTGTTATTCGGATGCTGCCAAAGATAAGGAGTAAAACAAGACGGAATTTTAAAACCTCATTTCATCCTCTGAATCTCTGGATTCACAGTTGGGCCTACTTTCACTCGGAAAATTTAGATTTTAGAGAAGGCCTGTAATAAGTCATTAACATAAAAAGTATCAAAAAACGCAGATAAAACTTGCAGTCACAATATACTTAAAAGTTTACATTCAAAACACTTTAAATATTAGAGAGTAAGTGTCATCCAAAATTGGTGATTTGAAGCAAATTATTTAGTGATTATCCACTTTTCAGTTTCAATTTGATGAAAAACCCCTCAGAAACAATGCCATTTTGGAGGTAACAAACTGTTATCAAAAATCATTGGAATACATTTAACTTTACATTTTTTGAAACTTTTCTCTTTTTCTTAAAATATTGTTATCTCCTAATTAAATATTTACCATTTTCCCTCCTGCATTCCTAGTACTTCTCTCTCTACCCTTTTACCCTTCATGTATTAAATCTTACATGAAGTCCTGATTTTTTAAAAAATCTACTAAAAACTCTAATCAAAGGAAGGCGTACAGAAAATATTAAGTGACACTTGTTCTAAAATATAAGAAATTAACATGAACTTCAAGAAAGTTACCATTATCAAAAGTTTTTAAAAGCCAAATAAACTTCAATTATGATCGAAAGACACACCAAAGCTGCTCTGGAAACTTCTTGTCCTCTTATAAATTCAACCTGTATTTTTCTCTCATTAATTCCGTTAATCTTAAGGTTCTCTCAGATCAGAATAATTATAGGTTTAAGGAAGGGTGAGTATACCAATCTCTAAAAACATATTATTTTTCAACTTAAGACATAATATCTAAGTGCTAATTTATATTATCCTTTTTTAAATGAGAATATATCTATCCTAAGCTTTAAAGTCGTAGGTTAAAGGTCATGTTTGCAGTGAAGATGTCATTAAAATCACTTCATCACAAGAACTGAATCACTGTCTCCAATCTGAGAGCACTGAACATAGTCTAAACACACCGGCTTTACAAAACTAATTCTGAATATACTAACTCCAATACGTTGTAAATTCACAGAAAAATGTTATTCAAGGTTAAGACTGTTTGTACCCATTTTAAAATTTTTCTTTTAACAGCATTAGACTCCATCAAGATGTACTGACCCCGAAAGATGGTTAAGCTAAAATAAAGGCCAACTTGTGTTTATAAAGCTGCAATGAAAAACTGAGCTCTAAATTTGGTAATTTATCTTTTGACAGCTTCAGAGTTCAATATGAGACCTTACATTGGTAGATTTAATTTTCTGATGTTCCATTTCCTGGAAAATTGTAATGTTTAATGATCACAACAATTTGAACACGTTAAGTTTTGGGTGATCAACAATGTGATCCAGTCCTCTTTTAAGTAGTGAAACAATGTCAGTTTACTTAAAATTCAGTGCAAAATATTCAATTATTTAAGATGTTTACCTTAAACAAAAATAAGAGAGTAATGGATCATTAACGCCTCCATTTAAGAAATATTTCTTCACAAGGGCTATTTTCACTTCAGATTTGTGCAGATAGGGGGCTTAAAACTAGGTCATATTTCAATGCAAAAACCAATGCCCCAGCTATACAAATAATTTCCAAGAACACAATATCCATAAATAAGATAGAGTTAATCTCCCCCAATTCAAAATAAATTACATAACTTACTCTGTTTTCCTTCTTTGTTTGTCCTCAAAGATGTCATTGAGATTGATTGCCACCTGCCCTAAAAACTTATCCAGACCCACCAGGGACCTGTGCATAACTATGAGGAAAAGAATGTATTTCTCTGGATTCCCCTGCATTAGCAATCCAGGTAGCTCAAAAGAGGCCTCCTCCTTCCACACTGGCTCAAGGGTTTTCTCAGCTACAGAGGTGGAGTACTTTTCCTTGCCCAGCTGAATTATAGTGTATGTGTCATTGGTGCCACTTTTGCCTTTTGGCTTAAGATCTTTGGCTTGGAGCACTGTGACCTGCACGTGGGTAGGAAACCACTTTTGGGCTTGCTCGGACAGCATCATTCTGTCCTTTTTCTCTGCACGGAGTTCTCAAGCGCAGGCAGTGCCCCTCCCGGAGGGAGAGCCTAATTCCTTAATCACTGCATCCTAAGGGCACTTAACGGCGACAGGCAAACTCACAGCTGCCCAACTTCCCCAGGGTTCACTGTCAAGCGCCTCGCTGGGGCAGCCCGGGGGCGCGGCTGTTCTGGGGGTGCCCTCTCCGCTGCAGAAGCCCAGGGGCCCAGCATCCCCTGGCCACGCCGCCCAGGCCTCCGCACGGACCCCCGCGCCTGGCGTCCGCACCTTCACGCGCCGCCGGCCGCGGGGACCGGCCCTGGGCGGCGGCGGGCGGCTCCTGGGCCTGCGGGCAGGTGAGGCCTGGCCGCCAGAGCCTCGCGGAGGGCTGCGGGGGAGGGAGGGCGCCCCCGACCCCGCCGCCTAGAGCTCTCCCGCCCAAACCCGCAGCCCCCCAGCCCCACGCCTGTCTCCTCGCGGCCGGGCCGCCCCGCCTCCTCCGCGCCTCCCGCCCGCCCGCGCCTGTCGGCGGGCCCGGCCCGGCTCCTCCTTCCAACCCCGGTAATACGAACCGCCGGCGGCTCGCGCGGCCTGGCTCCCTCTCGCAAACCTCTCCCTCTCCCTCCTCCTCCTCCTCCTCCCCCTCCTCCCCCTCGCCTCGGCTCCTCCTCTCGGGCGGGGGCGGGAGTGGGTCGCCTGGCCGTGGAGCGGGACGGGGGCCAGGGGACACGGCCGCCCCAGCGCCGGCGGGCCGCGGGCTGCAGGGCGGCGGGCACCGGGCTCGGCCTCGCCGGCCGGTTGCTCCTAACACCCGGCGGGCGGCGGCGGCGGCACTTCCGGGTTGGCCTTCTCCATGTTGATCTCGGGAACGCGACGGGGCGGGGCCGGGCGGGGCCGCAGGGTCAGGGGTCAGCACCTCCCTGGTTGCCGTGACGACCGGGGGGCGCGCTGCGCCAGCTCCCCTCCCAGGGCTGGGTGCCCCTCCTAGGTTTCGCGGGCGCTGCTGGGCCCTGGCACGGCGCCGCGCCCCGGGGACGTGGGGCCTGCACAGGCCAGCCGGGGGGCTCCAGGGGGAGCGGCGGAGTGCTCCTGAGTGGTGCCAAGCAAGGCCCGGGCCTGCCTGGTCTAGGGAGAGACCCGATTTCAGTCTTCGGAAACTAACACGGTTTGGCTGTACCCTGATGCCTGGAGCCTGGTACGGAGCGGGCGTTAGATAAATGGTGGCGGGGTGCGTCAGCCTTCTTCCCGGACCGAAAACACGCTTTTCCCCAACTCCTTACCCACTGTTCGCTAATTTCGCTGGAAACACATCCACCACCCCCAATGGAAGAAGAAAGGCAAGCAGATAAAAGAGCCCAAAAAAAACCACAGGAATTTAAAAAGATCGGGAGAGACGCTGGGCTAGAATCAAAAGACCTGGTTCCTACCCCATGTCTGCCGCCATCATCAGTCTGTATGACCTTGGACACGTCATTTCCCTTCCCGACACTCAGTTTCTTCGAGGCCAAGAAGACTGTGTCGAGGACACCCTCTGAGCGCTCACTCTCCACTGGGCTCCTGGGCCTCTGGTGGACCATCCAGCTTCCGAAGCCAAAGCCAGAGATGATTCTGCTTCCCCAAGGGCTGCAGCCTGTTGCCTTACCTGCACCTGAGGGTACAACCTGATGGACACCAGTGCTGTTGGAAAGGAGGGGGTTTTTTAAGAGAAGGAAATGGAGATGTGTTAATCCCGAGCTTTTCCTGGACTAACCAGATCTAGTGGGGAAAGTACGGGTAATAGCTGATGAGTCAGGAGACTTGCTGGGGTGTCCTGCCTCTGCTGGAAATTCAATATGTAGCCTGTGATGGGCACTTCGCTTTCTGAGGCAAGAAACTGAGATTCTGGAAACCTCCATCTCTTGTCCATGCATTGTAGATAAAATGGCTATTGGACTGTAGATAGCTTTTTATTTTATTGTGACTAAGATAGTTTGGAGGAGTATTCTGGGGTAATGTACATTTCTTAGCATCGTGTGGCACTGAGTCTCCTTTTGCCCCTCTGTTTCTCAATTACAAGAGACATTTATATGACTACTTTTTTTTTTTAACCTATACAGGCCTCCTTATGCTTTTAAACTTTTTTTTTTAAGATTTTATTTATTTACTTGACAGAGATCACAAGTAGGCAGAAAGGCAGGCAGAAAGAGGAGGAAGCAGGCTCCCCACTGAGCAGAGAGCCTGGGGCTGGATCCCAGGACCCTGAGATGGTGACCTGAGCTGAAGGCAGAGGCTTTAACCCACTGAGCCACCCAAGTGCCCCTATATGACTACTTTTTTGAATTTATTTCTGCTCATGTCTTATCTTCCCAACAAAATTCTAAATCCTTTGGACTGCCTTGTGTTTCTTGGATCATCCCTTCACAGTCCCTAGCGTTCAGTAGGTACTCAGTTTCTTGAACGACTTAATGCCTCTTCTCCCTTTATAGGATGAACTTGGAGAGTAAAACAATTTGATAGATACGCATATACTTTTCCAACTAACAATGGCCATAAAAATAAGATAGGGTGTTTATTATCTTTAGGCAAGTTTCAAAACTTTTTCATTTAAAGACATTACGTTCTCCATGTTCCTCAGTGTCCCATACTTAAAAGCTACTAGCTGCAGCCCTAAAAACTGACAAATAAGGGTGCCTGGGTGGCTCAGTGGGTTAAAGCCTCTGCCTTCGGCTTGGGTCATGATCTCAGGGTCCTGGGATCAAGCCCCGCATTGGGCTCTCTGCTCAGCGGGGAGCCTGCTTCCTCTTCTCTCTCTCTCTCCCTGCCTCTCTGCCTACTTGTGATCTCTGTCTGTCAAAAAAAAAAAAAAAACTGACAAATAAGGGCCTGTTCATTAAAAATTTTTTGAGTGGAGGTATGCGAGTCCCCAATATATTAGTGTCAGAAGATCAGTCATTGAAGAACCTCAGTGGGGGAGGGGATACCGTCTATATTATTTTAGTCTTGTGGAAGGAAAGTACTTTATTAACACTAAATGGCAACAACACAAACCTCAAAGAGCACCCAGATTCTAGCATATTCTTTCAGGGACCCACTGATACTTGCTAGTGTCTATAGGTTTCCTTTCATGTTGGAAACTCCCAGTTTTTTAGTGCTGCTTGCACACAGTGGCTGGTGTGAGTTCTGCATGAAGTAGGTGCTCCAAAAAGAGACACTGGATTAGTTTACCACCAGAATCTTCAGGGAAACGAACTACAGATAAATCATAAATAATCCTGAGCTAGACTTCATCTAGAATGAAAAGACCTGGTTTTAGGTCATTCTAGGGAGAGCATACTATCAAAATTAGAAGAAAAAAAAAACAGAATTTTCCATCTCTGAGACACAGTGCATGAAAAGGCCATGTGTGGAAAATAAAACAAAACCATCATCATACTGTGAATATAGCATCTGGATCCCACAGTGGGCAGTTGTCAACTTTAAAGAAAAATATTCTTTGGGATTTTTAAAGAGTGTACTGAGTAGTCAATGGTGGAATTTCAACCAGCATCTCCAGAGAGAAATGATTTGATGCCTGAAACTTACAAAAACAAAATAAACATCATGAAAACAAATTTCAGTTTAGAATTTTCACAAATTGCCTTTTTAAAAGTCTTCCTGTCTCTAGGAAGGTTGTAATTCAATAAATAATACACAATTAATTATAATAGTGGATGTGTGTTTCTAAAGAGCTTAAATTGTTTGGTAAGCTTTATTAACGATTATAAACTTGTTTACAAGTATCATTTCACTCATCTCTGAAATATAGTTATCTCTAGGGTGGAAGTTGGCAGCAACAGTTCACAGCAACACAATAACATACTCCTCCAACACAATTCAGGGAGTACTCTAAAGGCAAGAGCTAAACAACTAGAATTAATAACATCTCCTGTAGCACCTACATTTCTTTTGAGTTTTCCCCGAAACCTAGCTGGAGCCAAAATTCTTTAGAATTACTCTCTGGCAAGATCAGAAGTTATGACCTAATGTTTGTAAGCCAGAATAAGAAAATAGCATATTTTTGCCCCAGGGAAGAAAATAAACAACAGCAACAAAAATGAGCTAAATAGAAGCCAGAATTACATTATAAAAGTGAAGTCATTTCCTATAAGAACGTGTTTTTTTTCTTTTTTTGATTGTTTATTAAGAGTAAAAACATGTCAGTTGGATGAAACGTGGTTGGTTCAGAGAGAAATAATGGTAGTTAGATCAGATCTGGGATGAAAGTGGCTCTACAAAATGTTTATTGTCTTACAGTTTTAAAAATCCTACTTACTAATTTTAAGATATACAGGGACAGTAGTTTAAAAGAGGGAGAAGGATTGCATACATAAAGGCAACATACCGGAGTTGAAGAGAGTCACTTATTTTAACCTGCCCATATCCTATGCTTAATGACATACACAGAGATGTTTGGTATTGGGAAACCAAATACCAGGGCTTGGGAAGATAACACATCTTAAAGGAGTAAAATGCTGCAATTTCGAATTTTAGACTCTTATAATGCCTGTTGCAATGAGTAAGAACAATTTGACCAGAAAGTAAAAATAGTCAACATTTATTCTCCAATTGTGGAAGATTTCACCAGTTGAAAATATTTACTAAGTGATGCACCTTTACGTCAAATCCCATAAAGAGACTTGTTCCAAGCCTTGTGAAAGATTTCTCCCTTTGGACGTCAGCATCTCTAAAATTGCACCTTGTGAATCGAGTATAGGACAATTACAGTGTTCTTAGTGTTTATTTTTTTTTTAAAGATTTTATTTATTTATTTGACAGAGATCACAAGTAGACAGAGAGGCAGGCAGAGAGAGAGAGAGAGGGAAGCAGGCTCCCTGCTGAGCAGAGAGCCCGATGCGGGACTTGATCCCAGGACCCTGAGATCATGACCTGAGCCGAAGGCAGCGGCTTAACCCACTGAGCCACCCAGGCGCCCCTGTTCTTAGTGTTTAAATAACCCACTAGGTCACTCCCATGTACGTTACATAACAGATACTAATTATTTTCCAGTTGGAGGTTCAGAGACATAAGAGCAACAAGAAGCTTTCCCGAAACATCATCATGATCTTTAGACTTCAAATACACACACACACACACACACACACACACATTTCAACCCAAATATATACAAAACTTACATACCTATGGCAAAACTCCAGAGTTATGATAAAGATACATACATGGATAGATTAATCTTCACATAACCAGTCAAA